GCCCTCTCCTTCAGGATGTGGATGGCGGCAAGGTGGTCCTACATCTTCTTCTTGTCTTTATCCAGGACCCCCCACTTCCTCCATGATTCCAGGACCTCTTCGATGAGGCGCCCGGTGAACGCTGGCAAGGGGGCGGCTGCGTTGTCCCGGACATAGAACCAATGCGAATGCCACCCCTTGTTGGAGGTCAACAAATGTATCAGCGCGTATTCGTTTACTCGGTTGTTGCAGAGCTGAATGCCGGCGCATCCCATCGGCACACTTAGCTCCTGCCTCTTCTCCCACTTCTTGAGGGTGACGGTGAAGAAGTGGTGCCATAGGTCGAAGTGGGGACTAATCCCTAGGAACCTCTCACGTAGGGCGACAAACGCCGCAATGTGTTGGATCCCGTTGGGAGTAAGGTGCTACAGCTCCACATTGTAGTAATTCAGCAGCCCCCGAAGAAACTTGTGGGCGGGGGTGGCGAATCCCCGCTCGTGGAAGTGAGCGAAGGACACAATGTAGCCTTCGAGCGGCGACGGCACGTCCTCATTGCTAGGCAGCCGCCACTCCTCGACGGTGGTCCGCGAGCAAAGAAGGCTGCGGTGAACGAGGCCCTCCAGGCGTTGGAGGGTGACATCAGATCCACACCATGGCTCTATTGAATGATTGGGGTGGGTGGATGCGAACTTGATGGTGGTGGAGCTATGGATGCAAGAAGCTTAGGCAATTGGCGGCGGAGGTTGTAGATGCAAAGGCAAGGAGGTAATGTACGAAACCCTAGGGGCGAACCCTTTGGTTTTATAGGGGCGACAGATGCGAGGAAGGCAACCATCCGCCTGGATCTCCGTGCCTACCATGATTTGTCACCACGTCACCATGCAAGATATGCGCCCCCAATCCCTATCCTTTCCCACCAAAGTCACGCCAGATGTTTCGCCTTCCCGGGCAGACTAGGACTCTTTACTAGCGAAAGGATACAAGTCAAAAAAGCGTTCCTCCGGCCCGCCTAGGCCCAGGAGTTCAAGGGACTGGCCCATCAACGTTTTTGATGACCGTCCCAAGGCAGCCTTACGACGAAGGATAGGCCCGCGAACGGCCAAAACCCAGGCACACAAGCCTCAAGGGAGTCTCGATCCACGATTGAGTCTCAACCGGGCTAACCCTAGATGAATCCCCATGAACGGGATACCAGGGTACCCTTTAAGCTATCCGGCTAGTAAAACCACTAAATCTCACAGCCATACCCGCGAAGGGTGCGAATTACCCCTCGGGCAATTCCATCCGAATCACCCGGGGGCTCAGGGGCTACACCCGATGGGTGCGCTCACGCGCACCGTCTGGCGAATCGAAGTACCCCCCTCGGGAGATTCTATCCGAATTACCCGGGGGCTCGAGGGCTACTGTTGGGGACTGAATACCGGGGTACCTAAAGAGGAGGAGCTAATAACCATGAAACATTGATGCTTCCGAACAGACAAGAACGCAACTGCACTTCTTGCCCAAACGGCCGAAGGTTGGCTCCACCTCACCCGACCCCTGGGGGTTGGCTCCGCCTCGCCCGACCCCTGAGGGCTGGCTCTGCCTCGCCCGACGTCCGAGGGCAGGCTCTGCCTCGCCCGACGTCTGAGGGCTGGGCTCCGCCTCGCCTGACGTCTGAGGGGAGGCTCCGCCTCGCTGGACGTTTGAGGACAGGCTTCACCTCACCCGACGTCCGAGGGCTGGGCTCCGCCTCGCCCGATGTCCAGGGCTAGGCTTCGCCTCGCCCGACGTCCGAGGGCAGGCTCCGCCTCGCCCGACGACCGGGGGCATGCTCCGCCTCGTCCAACGTTCGAGGGCTGGGCTCCGCCTCGCCCGACGTCCAGGGCAGACTCCACCTCGCCCGACGTCTATGCGCTACTCCTTCATAACTGCGCATGCAGATAAGACGGGGCACTCAAGTCAACCGTAGTATCAAAAACCATACCCTGCACACCTACAGGGAAGTACCATCAGGATATGACCAGACAGACGCTTTAAGCCCTTCCAGGCATGTCAGAGCCCAAACAGTGTTGTGGGCGCCGACATTTGTCTTACAGTGTTATGGGCGCTGGCATTTGCCCTCGGACACGAATCCTGACGAAAACATACGACAATCACTACGGTCTAGGAGGAAACTCATGTCATCTACAGTAACGAATGTGGGGCCTCTATGCCATCTGCTCCCCGTAGGGTCATGACACGGCACCCTGGCGCGCCGCACCGTCCGTCGGAGTAGGATGGGACGTGACCACTTGCTGAACGAAGCCAGAGCACGGACCTAACAGGACCAGAGAACGTGTTATCCCTGGCACCATCTGCCATGTCAGCAGGGCAGGCTCAAAGGAAAAGGAAGACCCGGCACCTTCGAAAGACCTTCTCTGCCTCTAGTTTTTCCTCTTTCTCCCCTATGTAATCCTCTGCCTCTAGTTTTTCCTCTTTCTCCCCTCTGTAATCACCCGCTAAGGGGATGGATCAATTCGACACACCACGCACCACATTACACACTACTGAGCAGCAACCGAGCTCTCAGTACTCGTTTGACCTTTCCATTAGAGACTTGGAACATGTCCCTCTCTCGACTGTTTGGACCCCTTACTACGAACCTTTCAGTGTTAATAACACGAGCAGCAGCAGCAGACTGGACGTAGGGACATTCTGCCCGAACCAGTATAAACATCGTATCCTTTAGCATACTATCCGGACCTAACGCGCAACAAATATAAATTTACTAGTCGGTGTTTACTCGGAATACCGACAATTAGTTACATGTTGCCTTCTGGGATCGACTTCGTGTTTTAAAACGTACCTAGAGGGATTATCAGACAACTGGTAGGCTTGAATAATATAATACAAGGTCGTAATAATCAAGTTTTATCATGTAACAACTTCACAGGTCCCCTGTCGTTTTTTTTTGTTTATATCGACCAAAGAGCAGAAATAATCTGTCGCATGCTGTTTTGTCAATACCCGATTTTGTCTTGTGCTTGCGACCGGCTCTTGATGAATGATGCCTTTCTGCTGTCAATCTTTGAAAGCGATTATAAGAATAGATATATACATATACAAAGGGTGCGTGTCCCATATGAGTGATGTACTCCTAATTAAATCAAGTACCTAGAGCACTGTTACTGACAAAAAAGTGAAGAGAAGATACCTAACCGGATAAGCTATTACAACTTCTTCTTCTTCTTTTTTCCGAGGGTTAAAGCATCTCAAGTTTGACTAAATTTATATAATAAAATAATAACATTTATGATGCTAAATAAGTATCATTAGATTTTTTTATTAATTATATTTTTATAGTATTCTATTTGATGTCATAAATCTTTGTAATTTACTTTATAATTTTAGTCAAACTTGAGATGTTTTAACTCTCCAAGGAAGTTGGAACGACTTATAATTACGAACGAAGGAAGTATATACTGTAGCGCAGTTAGATTTAGAGTTCACAACCCTTAACACGTACTTACGAATACGCTATAGATTCTCCCATGCACGACTGAACCCTGAATTTAGTGTCATCTCCATCTGTCACTCCCACTCACCAAGTCTACACACCTTTGCGCACCTCCTATGTTGCCTCATGTCATTGTTCTTCTTCCTTATCTCCACGGCAATAACAGTTCGATCCGTGTCACTTCACAGTTCCACTACATCTCACCAGCCATAATGCTATTTCCACTACATCGTCGCCTATCGCTTATGACTTGTTTATAAGTGAGTGTCACCTAGCATTATTCTCAAGTGATGGGTAACAGAAAAACTTGCCACTTATTGTATACTCTCTCCAGTCCAATTTAGAAGGCGTTTCACGTACACTAATATTTGGCCAATAGTTTGGCCAACAACGACTTTCAACTATTGTAATACAAATTTGATACTATTAAATTTGAAATCAAATAAACTATCTAATAATCATAAGTTTATAATCATAAGCAATACAATATAAAATGATCTAATATTCAAAGTATAACTTAGGAGACATGTAACTATAGATTGAAATGGAGGGAGTAAGTAGTAATGACAGATAGTGACCCATCACTAGTGATAGTTATCGTGGTCAGTTATTATCGTTTTTCATGTAACGTGAACAAGAAGCCCATCTTGAAAATTAAACATTTGGAAATATGTGGAGCTTATACATACGACCTCCACTAGTGAGCAGAAGCGGTCAAACCACGTGATCAGCTCATGGCCATGGCCTCATACATATTTCAAAGGCAATGGTCAAACCACACGAATTCTGATTGTAACTTGTAAGTGATAAGCACACACTCTTAAACTCACTGCTTGCAATAAGAAATAGGTTTTTTTTAATTTATGTGCATATCCTAAGCACACAAGAAAAAGCCTATTAGAATTGATAAGACCTTAAGAAGTGTTTTGGACCATCTTACTCATACAAGGCATTGTTAGTTACTACCAAATCAAGTTTTATATAAAATATGTGTAGAATATAAGTTAATTAATATAACTTTTATCTACCCCTACGTCTAAAGTAAAGGTTTGTTTGGAGCCATTGACACTAAAAATTAGCAGCTAATAAAATTAGTACCACCTGCTAATAAATCTGCTAATTATTAGCTAGGGACTACTAAATGTTAGTTTCATTAGCTAGTTTGGAATTGCTAATAAGTGCTAATAGTTCTAACGTACTTTCAACTCACTGTCGAATCACCTATGAGTAGGTGGATCTAAATGACATCTTGCTAAGTGTTAATGGATCTAAACACACGCTAAATCAATTTCTAAGTAGGCGTGTGAGCCGTGACCTTCGCTGGCTTTGATCCTGCATATATCCCCGTCGATCACAAGCTCCACCACCCTCCCGATGTTTGTCACCTGCATCCACCTGTAAAAGCTCTTCCACTTTTGGTCTTTCGCTGCCCCTGTCACTGCGCCTAGCTACGTCTTCGTTCCTATCCCCTTCCTCCTCTCTCATCGTTTTCTTGCTCCTTCAATCGAGGCAAAAGGCTAGCTAGCTAGGGAAAGCTATAAAGATGGCGACGGCCGATCACGAGGCGACGGTGGACGAAAGTAGCCGCGGCCCGCTCCTCGTGTGGGACTGCGGCAGCGTGCTCTACGACTCGTACGAGCTCACCGCCTTCAAGCGCCAGCTCGACGCCGCTGTGCTCGCCAGCAGCCGCTCGCTCTCCATGCCGCACCTCACCACCAGCGTCGCCACAACGTCGCCGCCGCCGACAGCCGCCGATGCACAGCACCATCAGCAGGCAAGGCGACGCAGGAGGATCAGGCGCCTGCCCGCGCTGCTCAGGAGGCTCTTCTCCAAGGTGCTCCGGCTGCGGCTGTTCCCAGCCACCGGGGCTCGGGGCGCGCGCTACCGGACGGGCGACGACGGAACGGGGTCGCCGTGGTCCGGCGCGCTCACGTCCATCCCGGAGGAGCAGAGCTCCAGCAGCCCTGAGATGGCGGAGTCTCCAGTTGAGCCCGCCCAGAGCAAGCTGCAGAAGACGCAATCGGAGCGCTTCATCGGCAGCAAGACGGCGTCGTCCATGGTGCAATTCGAGGTCGTCTTGTAGCTGCAACACAATTCCCTAGTTATTGTATAGAGTATTACTCATATAATACAAAGTAAGCGCTTATTTGTATTTACTATTCAGTCTATAAATTGGCAACAAATTAAGAAAAGTTCATGTGAGGAACTTCTACTCAAGATATGCTACATAATTTGGGTTTGGTTATACACTTATACAGTCGTCACCGGCAACCGGACAGCGCCACCAACAGCAAGATCGAGCCAACAAGCCACCTCTACATGTTTTCGTGTTGTTAAGCACACGCACTTTCAACTCCTCCCTGGGTTGCCTTCTCGTCTTGTCTGGTGCACCTTGTGCCTCCTTGTCCGCCTAGATACTAACGTCTCCTCTTTGAGAGATCCAGCTTGACTCCAAGCTGGAGCCGACAGAAACCGCATGGTTGATTCATCCTCCCATGTAGCCATGCAGGTTGTTCGGTTGGCTGCATCATATCGTTGCTTGTTCGTTTATACGAGAGAGAAGTACTACTGATTAGTTCACGTGAATAGTAGCCATATGAGGGGGCTGGCCAGCCCAGCGATCAGGCTGATGGATGATGGCCAATCAGATCAAATCACAAAAAGTAGTTGAATGGCCAATCAGATCAAATCACAAAAAGTAGTTGAATTAGTTTTCCAGCTTGTTGACAGAGGACATGTTTAGTTGCCAGAAATCGGCACCGTCGAAAATACTGTAGCGCACTGTATCATTTCGTGTGTATTTGATAATGATTGTTCAATCGTTGACTAATTAGGCTCAAAACGTTCGTCTCGCAAAGTACAACCAAACTGTGCAATTAGTTTTTGATTTCGTCAACATTTAGTACTACATGCATGTACCGCAAGTTTAATGTGACGGAGAATCTTCTTTTTATATAGTGTCAAAGTTTAAATTTTAGGGTAAACTAAACATGACCAGAGATGAGAGATGCCGGTCAACAAGAAAAGCAATAGGCACATGCAACAGATTGTCAAGATCAGGGATGCTAGCACACTAACCTGACAAGGTGCCCATGACCCCATGTTGCCGGCTTGAGCTCAGAAACAAGAAATACCAGATGTATAGTAGATGATGCTGGTAGGCACGTTCTTAAGCCACACGACTACACTCAGGCCTCGTTTAGTTGACGAATTTTTTTAGAAAATAGTACCGTAACACTTTAGTTGTTATTTGACAATTAGTGTCCAATCATAGTCTAATTAGGCTTAAAAGATTCGTCTCGTGAATTTCGTCTAAACTGTGTAATTAGTTTTATTTTTTATTTATATTTAATGCTTCATGTATGCGTCCAAAGATTCGATGTGACGAGAAATTTTGAAAATTTTTGCAAAATTTTGGAAACTAGACAGGCACTCAGAACTAACATATGGTCTTCTTGATGATTTCATATGGGCCGACGTAACCAAACACCTGAGAGTTCTGAACATAAGGGTGTAGCTAAGGCCATATCACCCTAGTCGATTGGTTCTCTCATATCATTGTTTATCCGCTTGGAACTTCATTCGTTGTTGAGCTCGTTGAAGTGCTACTGCATAAGCGCCGCCATCTTACCCAAGATTGTAGCTTTAAGAAGGCCATATCACCCTAGTCGATAGTCTCACACTACTATAGAAACGTTTTTTAGGGATGGCTCGTAACCCTTTGTAGGGGCGGTTTGGCCAGTCGCCCCTACCGAACCGTCTCTACAAATCATGCATTTGTAGGGGCGGTTCCCAAGCCACCCCTACAAATCGATTTGCAGGGAAGGCTCGTATTACAAGCCGCCCCTACAAATAGAGGCAGCTGTAATACCAGCCACCCCCAGCCGCCCCTACAAATCGATTTGTAGGGGCGGCTGTAGTACCAGCCGCCTCTATAGTACCAGCCGCCCCTTCAATCTAGAACCGCCCCTACAGTACGTTTTCCCGTCAAAAAAATTTAAATTTACAATTCAAATTCGACCAGAACACTGTTTGTTTCCGCGTATTCCATCCAGCGTTCGCGTTGCCGAACGCCCCGCGACCAGCGTTGAAAACCGCGTTCGCGTTGCCGAACGCCCCGCGACCAGCGTTTCAAACCGCGTTCACGTTGACGAACACCCCGCGACCGACGTTTCGAACTGCGTTCATGTTGCCGAACGCCCCGCGACCAATGTTTCGAACCGCGTTCGCGTTGCCGAACACCCCGCGACCAGCGTTCTAAACAAGAGTATTATATAAACTACAATTACAAGTCCAATTCACAAGAATATATACAATCCATCATTAAATATACAAATTCCATACACATTGTTATCAACGTCCTAGAGCTAGCCTTTCAGTCTCACGAATGTGTTGGTACTGAGGATTTCTACCTAAGTCAGACTCTCGGTCAAGGTAGGCGCCTTTGACGTGTACAATCTAGTCCAATATAAAGTTACAAAGGTCGCCGACGAGCTCTAAGAGTTGGTCATCCTTGTATGGGTCTCTTTTCATTCCTTTCTCTTCTTTCCACTACAAGAGAACAAGTTTTTGTTTAGTATTTCATACCATGTATGAAGTTTTTATACTACGGGTGAAGAGGTTCAAACTTACCCTTAAGGGGTGTCTCCTATAGGCACTGGCGTTACTCATCATAGAACATATATAGTATCCATAATGTACACTCCCAGGCTTTTGCTTGGGGCACTGTGTGTTTTGCATATGAAAACGTTAAGTAATGCTTTTGACAGCCATGTAATGAAGTACTGAAGAAGTAAGTTATATTTACCGCATATAGTGTTTTTATAGCCAGCTTTTCCTTCCTTGCTGAATCATGCCTTCCGTGATGTTTAGTGACATAGAACCTAAATGCCCTATTCGAATTATTTTAGCAAATACAGCTTGTTAGTATCCAAAAGTGAACGTTACAAGTATGTATACAAACATATAAGCTAATGAGGATTGTCGATATGTATACGTCTTGAGAATCGATATGAAGTCTTTGTATGTCACCGGGTCCCTATCTATTAAATCAGAGACTCATGCCATGCTCCTTTCGACATCGACGGCTATACAAATCCAGTGGTTACTGCATGGATTTAATCATAAAACTAGATAAGCTCTTTTGCATCGAATAAAATATATCGAACAAAGCTTTAAGTATAGAGTTGAACTTACTCGAAGTTGTATGATAGCCATATAGTAGAGTGCTGTTGGAGAATTTTGAAAGCCAGGGCAATGTATGCTGCAACCTTAAGGGTCTCTTCCCTTAGTTTCACCGTACGGATGTGCTCTTTCTCCCGAAGAGTCTTTGTAGCCACTAGCTCTTTGGCATCCAGTTTTCACTGTTTAGGGTAATTAAAATTTGTTTGGACTATAGCTTGAGGGTCTAGATACTCGGCTTTCACACTTGGTGTTTGTTTGACAATGTGCACTTGCATTCTATAAATCACGGCGTGGGTTAGTTACAACAAAATTCAAAGATTACATTCATATCATATCGGGAGAACAAGGACTTATAGGCACCACGTGCAAATTAGATTCATCGCCATTGCTCCCAGGTGAAAGCATGTCTACATGTCATTGAAGTCAAAGACAATTTTTTTGGTTGGGCTTCCAAATGTGCCGGTGGGGAAGCATACTTGTATGAGGTCTATGCTCGTTGGGAGAACACGTAAGTACCAATCATGGAACCTTCTCATTCCAAGTGGTCGGCGCTGGATGTCCTAGTTTGGTAGGAAGGGCTTACCTCTTTCATATGTTTTCGGGCAATCCTTTGACCATTTGATGGCATCAACATTTGGATACTACTTTGCAATTTGGTGGAGTTTGCTAGTGACGGCCTCCTCAGAACCCCATGATGGGACGTTTTAACTTGGTTCTCAGGCTTGAACTGGTCATGCGAATACCACTTGGACACGGACGAGACATCTTTCATCAGAACATAAACTGTCCTTATGGTGATTGGATGCTTCTTTCGAAGTTCTCATTCAGGCACGTCCTCATCTTCTTATGCATCACCTTCAGGAGGCACACGTTGTTCATGTATCAGCTGTGCTTGTTGAGAAGACTGTGGCATCTCATCATGCACTTGCTCGGTATGAGCTGGAAAAGGTTGTGGCATCTCATTAGGCACATGCTCGCTAGGAGGCGGGGAAGAATGTGGCATCTCAGGAATATGGTGGTCACGAGACGGTGAAAATATCTCCCCGACCTCAACAAGTTGCTCCAAATTTGGGAGAAGGGGAGGCGGCGAAGAAGTAGTCAATATAATGTCCTATTTGTGCTAGAGGATGAACTGCCCCATAACGTCTTCGAGTAACACCAACCCCTCGGGAGTTGCGTAGTCTATCCTCCACTGCATGAAATCGGACTTCATGGTATGCACCTCGACCCTAGTGTAGTCCGGCGGTATCTTATTAGAGAGAATTCTGTATTTGGCACTGAAACAAATCACTCTTCCGTATTTGCCACTGAAAATTTTGAACTTCCTTATCTAGCATCAACTTAAAAATTCCTTCGGTATATGGTACTTCTGTCCATTTGATGCAGTAACGGTGTCAAGTGCCACCTAAAATGACATATATGTCCTTCTATGTACCAGCAACATGTAGTGCCAGATAGGAAAAAAATAAATGGACATAATGTCAAATAGGGAAAGCACAAATATCACAAATATACTTGTGAATGAAACATAACATTTTGATAATTGAAGAGTGGCAATAATAATAAATAAATTTGATGAACAAGCTTCACAAATCTGACCACATTGTCAGCATACTTAAAAAACAAAAAAAATGTAAACACACGAATTCCTACTGCTACTACGGTGCTTGCGAAATTCAGCAGATTGGTTGTTTAACTGATCACTAACATATTTGAGCTACTCCTTCAATATGCGCTTAGGCAATTCTGAATATTTCAATTTCTTTGGTAAACTCGATTGGGTCAATGTCGTGTGATTTTTATGATAAGGTGGTCTGATTCTTTGTTCCAGAGGGCGAAGCCGGATATTTCTTTCCATTATATATGTCGGACAATTGTAAGTAGTAGCACACCCGGACG